CTCAGTTTTCAGTAGGGATTTCCTCCACCATGTCACTCTAATGCTATCTATTAGGTCTCTCACATTCATCATTTCCATACCTCCTAATTTATATGGTAAATTAATCCTGCTCGAAGCTATTTTTGGTTTCTTCCCTTTCCACAGAAATTCTGGAAATAGTTCTTCCAACTCTGCAATCCATCGTCCCCTTAGGATTAGGCAAACAGTAAAGGACATGCATAAGTTTGGACCATGCCAGTGTTTTCAAAATAGTTATTTTTCCTATAGGGGTTATCGACACATTCGACCAATTCTTCAAAAGTACCCCCATTTCATCAAGATTTTCGCTGAAATTTAATTCAGGCATTTGCGACAAATCCCTATGAAATTTTGTACCAAGTAAGGTGAAATGATCTGTCCAGTCTAATGATTTCAACTCAGGATTGTTTTGTTGTAAGTCAGTCTTACTTCCGATCCATATCGCCTTACTTTTTGAATGGTTTATTTTTACTCCCGACATTTCGTAAAAAGCATCAATAGCAGACGATATTTCCATAATACTATCATTGTTTCCATCCAGAATAAGAGTTGTGTCATCTGCGAATTGTTGTAGTTTAGGACAGATCAGTTCACCTAATTTCAAGGCGGAAATCCTTTGATTTTGCGGGATCATGCATGCAAATATTTATGCGAATAGCAAAAATAGGTAAGGGGAGATGGGATCACATTGTCTACATCCTTTTAGTACTGGAAAAAAGTTTGATACCTTTCCATTTTGGCAGACACAAGCTAACGAGTTAGAATACAAAATTTTCACCTATTTTCTGATTGATTTTCCGAAACTGAATGTCTCCAAGACTCGAAACAAAAACTGGTGTGAGATCGAATCAAAATCCTTCACGTAATCTAACAAAATAAGGAGTCCAGACATATCTAGTCTTTCTGTTTCCCACATGATATCATACACATTTCTCACATAGTCAAAAATGTCTCTGCCCTTTATAAATCCATTCTGTCCTAGGTGTACCAGTCTTGATATCACTTTCTAAATTCTGTTTGCTATTGTTGTAGCTCCAAGTTTGTATACTATGTTCAACAACTTGATTGGCCTCCAGTTTTTAATCAGTTCCTTGGGCTTTCCAGGCTTTGGGATTAAAGTGATAATGCCTTGTCTTTGGGTTATAAACAATTCTCCTTTCACATATACCTGATTCAAGAAGTTAGTAACCTGCAATCAAATTGACAACTTCGCAAAAATTATAGCTTCTTATATTTGGCCCACCCTGTATTTCCTAAAATACGTCATTGTTCTTTCAATGAGTACACATTAATGTATGTAGTTTTGCAGTACAATGTAATGAATGCCTACAAGCTGTTGCAGTTGGGAAAATGCTATATTTTCAATAACGAGAAATCCCAAGCATAATTAGAAGAGGAAGGAGATGTTTGACAAGTGAAAGATTCAAAAAGTCAATGGAAGTATTGCATGTTTGGCAAGGTATCTCCTCACTAATGCGTCATAGGCGGTACATTGTGACTTCTTCCCAGAGTACCAAGAACCTTTTGTTGCCGAGAATGCTGTGTGAAGATCACCGAGATTAAACACGTCCATCATCATACGTCATCAGCGAGTTGCGTCTCATAGCATTCAAGTGAGGCACATAAATGAACTTCCGAACACCCATGCATTGGAAAAGGGATGCTTTTGAGCCATGGAAGGAATGATGATCAACTCCATTGATTCAATGCTGCGCTATTCACGGTGGAATTGTCAAGGTGACAAGACTGACAAGTGTCAGCCTCGATTCAATGGATTATCTTGCAATAGAAAATCCCTTGCGTTTTATGTCTACCATTAGGATTTTTTTCTGTACTCCATCAGACTGTGTCAAATAGTTCAGTTAATCGGCCACTCCATCAGTGTTTGCAATTACCTCAGCCGATATTCCATGAATTATTTCTATCAAGAGGAACGTTCGATTTAGCGCAAATAAGATAGTGGCTAAAAGGCACTCGAATTTCGTCGCTTCAAACAAGCAGAATGCATTTCCAGCTCGCATAACTAGGAGCAAGCATTGAAAACCTTACTGTGTCAGAATTATTTCTCGAGATGGGCACCGACATGTTCATATAGGCCATCAAGGGCTTGGTGTAGAAGTGACGTGACGACACCAGCTATGAATATTCTAATTAAGCTTAAACTGCAAGAGCTGCTGAAACCATTAACATTTTCCTTACCAATAATACATACGTGTTTTTCAGGGACGGTCTTGATGATACATGGTTTTGCAGTGTTACCCATATTAATCCATTTTGCTCATAGCTGTGTAACATGACTATCTTGGTATGGCGAATTCCTATGATATGCAACGAAGTATTAATACTATCGGTCAATGGTTCGCAACCGGCGGGTCCGCGGCACACTGATGGGCCGTGGAGGTGCCGCGGCAGCGCCGTAACAAGCATTCGTAAGCTTAAAAATAACAATTAACAGATATGCGAGCAAAAAGTACATAGCTTTAAGGTCTGTCGTGGGCCTTGGATCACTTTGCAGTTGTTAAGGTGGGCCGTGGGATCGACTAGGTCGAGAATCACTGGTATAGGTTGTCCAAAGAAGGAGCAGAAATAAAGAAAGAAAGAAAGGACAGATTCGCGTGAAACTTCACCGCGTCAGCATTGGTCACATAATTATTAAAACGACGTTGCTGTATGGCATAAATCCTTTAACACAGTTTCAATGTTCACTCGATTTTGGAAAGAGCAATATTGCGAGAACATTCTCCGGTCAACGTTGCATCAACGGATGCCAAGCAATACATCTTGCGAGGTATGCGAACAAACAATATTTCCTGACTGCCATGTGATGGCTACCACCGGCCCAACATGGTTTGTTACCGTATATATGTAATTAGTACGCGTCTCTAGCAATTTTGAAGTAGTGCTTGATCTTTTCTCCACAAACGACGCCGAGGAAGGTATTTGACTTCCTGGATACGTTCCAACAAAGTGGTAGCCCAACTAAGCAGGACCCAGGATAACTTTGAGCAGGGTGATGGACACAATAAAATTAAGGAGGTCATATAACTGCATGAGACCAGGACACCATGCCGTCGATGAGGAATCCAAATCATGATCACAGCCGAAGTGTACGTGGAGGGAGGGTGCCCCTCTTATTACATCACAGCAATCAGGCCAGTGTCCTGCTTCCGGGGAGAACAGGGTGCCTCTTTCTCTTCTCGGTATTGAGTTCGCATAGTCCTTGGGTGGGGTGGGGGGATCTTAAAAAAGCAGATTCGAAGGATGGATATCTGGTCCAAATGATATTCAAACAATACTTCAGTCGTGAAGCGGCGCATGCGCACGATTTAAACAAATAGTTCAAACTGTCATATCAAAGTTCCACAGGATTTTTTGCCCTTCTTACCGAACACAACATATTTTCGAGCCTCTCGGTCTGACATCCGCGACTAACGGCCTCGCGTGGGTCCAGAGATTCACGAAGAACTTGCTCTGCCACAACTTCACGGGGTTTTCGTTAACGAGATTACACTTGGATATTTACGTTTTCGCGTCGCGATATATGCCAACATTTCTATGCCAGGTCAAATCAGCGTTTCTCTTCGATTTCGATACGTTTTTATTTTAATTATTTGCCTTTTGAATATTCATGTGAGGTAAATGAGAAGTGATTTAAAGTTGGCACATTCCTGGAATCGTGAATCCTTTAAGACTCGATTGAGACGTGCTAGAAATAGTAATTAATTTTTTTTTACTATTGGTGACTGACATCTTCTGACCATGAAGTTCATTTAGAGATGGTTTTATTCGCTACCACAGTCGTGAATGCAGGAAAACAAGACATCAAAGAGACATTCGACATGCTTTCTCGCAGGTTTTCAACTCAAATCTCTTCACAACTTCCCATCCCGTCCCATCGAAGACCTCGACGGAAGGATTCCAATACCCTCCAACGGCGTGGAGCGTCCCGTCGAGCGAGACGAGACCGTGTCCTTGGCGTTCTTCCACCATGCTGGGCCACTGCTGCCACGCGTCCTTCCTCGCGTCATAGGCATATACCTCCTTTTTGCCACTTCCCCCTGCAACGACGATTCCTCCACCTTCTGCGTAAGCGAGGCCTGGATATATTGTGCCCTGAGGGTGGTCGGCCAATTCTTTCCAATTGGGAGTTCGGAGATCGAGACGCTCGTGCTTCGTGCTGTTTGGATAACTACCACCAACGACACTGACGACGGAATCCTTATAAAGGGCTCCAGCACCGTACCTTGCATACTTCATGGGGGTCAGGAGAATCCAATCCGCTGACTCTGCATTGAACTGTAACACTCCCCCTACAGTTCTCCTTTGTTGATCGTAATTTCCACAAATAAACAAGGACGAAGCTGATGACGCAATTGCTGGCCATTGGATATAGTCCGGAGGTTTAGGACCTTCCTCCCATTCACCCATCTCTACGTCAAAAATCTTCATCTCACTGCATCCAATCAAGTAAAGTTTTCTGCGGATGCCAGCAAAACATTTGTTGGTTGGTGTCTTCCTAAACGGCTGATAGACGTACGCACCTCCTGGACGTTGAGTGACGTCATCCACGCTCCAATCGTTCGGATCGATGCGATAGATTTTCCTTTCATGATCCTTGACCCCGAAGCACCATATCTTGTGAGAGAGAGTCCCACGGTGCCTGGATTTCCCCCCAGGGACGGTATGTCGCAGCCCAGGGACGTGATAGTTCATCGCGTCCATGCACACGCGAAGGCATCTAGGGTTGTTGGATATAGCAGGATCCTCGATTATTAATTTTTTGCGGTACTCATGAGGTAGAAGAGGTAGACGAATTTTGTCAATAAGATCGGGCAGGTGACACTTCCTGCTTTCATCTCGATCTACCCATCTCTTCATCGCCTCAAACACGTCTTTCTCGGAGGAAACTTCCAAGTCGTCTCGATCTAAGAGCGAGGTCAGGGCCTTGAAGGACACGCTCAAGAAATCCGCCGTGTGGATCACCTGGTTGAACCGGACCGAAATGGCTGCATTGGCTGCTTCTTTTAAATCCTGGCACTCATATCGCTCCGCAATACCGAGGGTACGAAATGCATTCTCCGGCGTCAGGAAATCAACGAGCGTTTTACTTATCTTCTCGCATAAGCGCTTCAGCCCTAGATAATGAGCGTCCTGCAGGGCGGCCAACGCCCCATCCTCTCCTTCCACGTACATCCTCGCCCCGTGGATGTAATCCCACACCAGCCTGAATCCCGTCTCGGTGAATCCCTCCAGCCTGACCTCCCTCTGGGAAGGCTCCTTGAAGTCCTCGGAGGAGAACATCTGTCTGAAGTAGGGGGAGACGGCGGCGAGGATCGCCTTGCAGGAGTAGAACTTCGCGTCTTGGATCAGCAGGACGACGTCGCACGAGCTGGGTCCCGTCCTGAAGAATTCGGTAACGCCCGTCGCCAGCCAAGTGTGATCATTCAAATCTTTCTGCAGCATTATCTTCCTCCTTGCCACGGGTTCTGTCCTTTCCATCATTGCTCTTGTCAATGTCGCTATGCTGAAAGCTTTTGTAGAACATTTAAGAAAGCATTTAGGACGATTCATGTTTTCTCTCATGCAATGCAATTGCAAGACGAAAAGGTTTTCATGGATAATTGGGTATACCCCCAGAACCAAGAATAAACATGTCCGATGAGCTACTTTAAGATATCTCATATGAATTAGTACGCGGGGAGTGGGGTCACTCGAAAAGTGGGAAAGAGCATCTCATGAAGAAACTCAGAGGGCCCCTGAGAGACAGGGCCTCTTGGTCTTATGGGAAACATCACAGGCCCCATTGGATAGACTGGGCTTCATGAGGAACCTTAGAAACCTCGTGATTTTTTATGACCAAGAGATTTCATGAAGAAGAACTTCACGTGTGCCTTAAGTGATAAGGACTTCTGAGGAAATAGCGGTTGCTTGTAAAGTGTTGCGTTTGGTCACATTTAGTCAAGAGAACATTTATTCACTACATTTTTAGTGAAAAGGGAAAATGGTCAAGTATCATGTGCACCAAACGAAGTGCACGATTCATCAAACATCTGTTTGCAGTTAGACCACCATTACATTCAGCCTACAAATTTCAAAAACTATCATTTGAAGATGGAAATCGTTCCTGCCTAATTACAACCAGGGATATGCATATACCGTATTTCATCATGAACCACCGCCTTCTGCGATGACAACAAACTCACCGACTTCAGCGAATTTTGCTCTCGGTAGGAACCGCACCTTCTGAAACCCGGAAAGGCTGCCTTGGACACCCGGCTCGCAACTCCCAGAAATCACTTTATTTAAATGATAAAAAAGTCTCGGTGGAATCTCACCAGCACGGCACTCCCGTCGAAACAGGATCTGGAGACGATAACGCAGTTATCAGGTTTTGCACCGATAATCTCGCCACGTAGCCCGTCTTCGCACAGACATTCGTGAGTGTCGGTTCGGCTTCATTCGTAACTGATACGCGACATGTATCCATCCGTCCGTGATGAAAGAGAAAAACCACGGATGATAACAATAATAAATGCCTTTTCCCCATCTCGTTTCCTGGAAAGGGGGAGACAAATCGGAAAGTTTGCTTGGTCGGAAAGGAAATAAAAAATAAAAATGCACATTCTCTATCAGACACTCTCCTATACCATCGTAATAAGTAGATATCCCTTTCTTGAAAGGAATACGTCTTCTCTCCAAATTCAGTCCTGCAATAATATGAACTTCACAAGAGATTTATTTTGGAAATAAGACTTTCGATACTAACTTTCGTTTCCCATTCTCCAGACCTGTTCCTACGCCTTCCACCACTAAACTATGCTTATTTGCGCCACGTGTAAATGCAAGGATGGAAATGTGATGCGCTTGGGGTCTCAATTACGTAATTAATTAACTAAAACGAATCCTCAGGGTGGAGAAGAGACTTGAGGCATTAATTCAGAGTCCGACATTTGCGAGGCACAAATTGAGATGGAAAGGAGAATAATCGAGACACTCACGCAGCATTTCCTGCGGCTATGGTCGAGGAAGCTGTCGACTTTACGACCGAGAGTTGCCCATGCTCATGTGACCCTGGGTGCCTCGGAATGATGTTAAGGAAAACATGGGGTACCCGTTTTCGGTAAACGATGTTTGCATTTGTACCTTGCCGTGCCTTGTATGACAACAATTCAAATTGTCGGGCAGTTTTCCATGTACCCTGAGAACCCCTCTCACCATTAACCAATTCCTGACGTTAGCAGAAAGTCCGACCGTTCGAACAGATGGGTCTCGTGGCCCAGTCGACATCCGACTTTCCACGTCGCAGGCATCCGCTCATCCCACGCGGGAGCGCGACGAGGCGGAACTCATTCCCACGGACGCATCGCAGCCGAGAGGGAGGGGGAAAAATGCATGCGCCCTCCACTTCTCGGTGTGCTCACGCCGCCACGATAACTGCGGATAGCGCGTGCCTCTTCAACGCGTTCGGTGCGTGACTCCCTCCCCCGTGCCTCACCCAGTCATCGATAATCGCCATTTTCTTCTTCGGCTCCACTTCCATTTCGTCATGCTGAAATGGATCCCATCAGGTACGCACTAGTCCATACTTCCAATTCGTCGATATGAACGATAATCTCTTCCAGTCACGCACAATACTCGTCGAAGCGAACCTAAACTCAATTTCGTTAGTTCAAGTTCTTCAAGTTTTCTTGTCAGAGCTGGACGTGGCCATGCCAGGAAGAATAAGTATTCCAGTAGAGTCGATTTCACCCCAAACCGAATGAATTCCGAGAACCTTCCAATTGAAAGCACGCCCTCAACTATTTTAGGGTGATCGAGGTTAACACCTGATTCAATGATCCTCTGAACTCCATATTCCTCCCCCCCCCCCCAATTTTTTTTAATTGTCTCATTTCCTGAATTATTGTTCCAGTAAAGGAGGATTTCTTAAAATCTTACATAAAGTCCTTATTACCTCCGAACTTGAAACGTGCATGTACCTGCAAACCAGCCTATAGTAACCGCATGCCCCCCCTCACGACCAACCACGCATGTTTCCTCGGACGGATGCTGGTCCGCTGACTTTTACAGGTCGTTACTCATCTTGAAACACAGATGATGCTTTTCCTCTCAGTGTGAGGGTCGTTTTGGTAGGAGCAGAGTTCATTACGAGTGATGAAGTCTGGTGCTTCATTCAGGTGCTTCTAAATCCCTTCATTAAAATTATTCAGCGTCAATCAGATAAATTCGGCATGGGTTTGCTTTTCATTCAGACTATGAGGAATGCTATGAAGAAAAAAATAACTAAAATTTAATTATGTAAAATTTAAAAAAGTAATTAATATGCCTGTATACTTTAGTTGAGGATTTTCACCAGTGCTGCTGATCCAATTCCCACTTGCTGGTCTAACTGCCGATTTGTGATATGAGGACTGTTCCTCGTTTGTGACGTCGCAGCATCAACTTTTTCTCAGTGAGATGCTTCCACGATGGGACTAAGTGTAACATCACATTTGAAGCCCTCCCTCCCCAACCTGAAAATGTGGTGCCACTGAATAACCATGCTATAAGCATGAGCACAGTCTTGTGACGGTACTTCCATCTCATCGTGGAAGTCCTTGAAATGCAAACCTCGTTCCAGGTTGCAAAAAAGATCATGACCTGCAGACTTCATCTTCCCAGAACAGGGGATTAAGGCAGAACAGTAGATTAAGCCATCGCCTTCCTAGAATATAGCAAACCAATGAAAGCGAAAATTCTCTCCATTTTTTTTTCATAAGTGGCAAAACTTTTAGCTAAATGGTTTACAATCCTCAGGGATTATGGAAAGAAAAACTAATGGCTTCATGCTTTCTCCGATGTCCAGGGAGTCGGGGAGATTCAAGAGAGCCTGCTGCTCGTGCGCGATGGTCGTGTTGACAGTTGTGGTTTTCCTATTGCACTTTTCAACACGGCCCGAAAGGTCGGCGCACGGCGTGCATCGTGTCCCAGACTTGCCGCGGACGGACGCCGAATTGCTCGGTGTGGGGACTCGGAGGGTCTGGCCGGATTTCCCACTGACGGCCGAGGAATGCAGGAGCGCGACGTTCGCGAAGGCGACCGACGGCGGAAGGCTCGGCAACATGATCGCCGAGTACGCCACCGTCTTCTCCTACGCCCGGAAGCACGGGAAGATCCCCGTGCTCGGCGGGCGCCTCCGCGAGTGGCTCCACCCCATCTTCCCCCACCTCAGCTTGAGGACGGAGGGCGAGACGGGATGTCCCCCCAGGAACTGGATCGCGGCACCCACCGACGAACTGCACGGCACGGTCCTCCCGCCGTGGAACGAGACGGATTTCGCCCGAGGCAAGGACGTGTTCCTCGTCGGGTACCCGAGCGACGCGAGGCTCTTCCACGAGTTCAGGACCGAAAGGATGCCGGATTTCCGATTCAAGGAGGAATTGCTGAGGGATGTCCGCTCGTTCTTTTCCTCGCTGTCGACGGAGTACGGTCGCGACGCGACGTTCGTCGGGGTCCACGTCCGCCGGACGGATCAGATAATCCTCAATCGGAACTTATTCGGGGCCGGGCCCGTTTCGGCCGCTTACTACAGACGGGCCATGGCCCACTTCGACCGGCTCTTCCCGAATCCGGTGTTCGTCCTGACCAGCGACGACATGCGATGGAGCAAGGAACACGTGAATCACGCCCGGCAACGCGTCGCGTTCGTGGAGGGGCGTGGCCGGGACTTCGATTTCGCCCTGCTCTCCCACTGCAATCACAGCATCATCTCCGTCGGGACTTTCGGCTTCTTCGTCGCTTATTTCGCCGGGGGCATCGTCGCCGCCCCGAAGGTCGTCTCCGAGAGGCCCATGTTCGTCGACTTCGCCGTCGCTCGGATGGGGGTCGACAACTGGATTTTCATAAACAATCACTGATTTTCCAAAATAAAAAAATGAATTATTTTAATTCGTTTTCTTTGCAAGGTTTGTCGCTTCCAAGCTCCATTTCGGATGCGATAGCATATTTGCGACTTCATCATCTCAAGGACTGAGCCATGACCTTGGTAAATTTCATCCAGGTTCCGATAATGCGATTGCACTGAAACAACGAGGCAAAATCTACCAGGAAACTTTCAAAATGTTTTGCTACTTCTATTTGCCCCAGTATTTTTCTCACTACACAATCAGTCCTCGACAAACTGGAACGCATCGAACGAGCTGCTATAAGATGCGCCTTCCGCCTTCCCACTCATTTTTCTAACTCATATACATACAGAATCAGCGGACTCGCCCCTCTCTCTCGGCACGCCTCTCAACTAGCTTATAATTATTATAACGACCCTAAAAGGCCAGGGGACATCAAAGAAATTCCTGTGACATTAAATAAGAAATTCACCATAGGGCCCTTTAAGCACACTAAGATCTATCCCAATAATAAAATTATGCAACGCCTCGGAAATGCTAGTGATGCCACTGACGACTCATCCCCCCCCCCCCCACCCCTCCACCTGAACCACTAACTGAATATGACCCTTTCCACCC